CCGTCAAAATGAGGGTGAATCTTTGAAAGACTATTATCAAATATTTTTTCTAAAGCTCGACAAATCCCAGAAGTGGATCTTGAGCTACTTCGAGGTGTTTTTCTTGAAGGACTGCGCCCCATGCCATTTTACTCTTCGTTGATGCGAGAGACCGTTCATCCTTATGCTGACCTAATTCATAAAGTATAGGCTCAAATTATCGTCGATGAGGATATCAATGCTCATCGAAAATAATTTAAACAACCTTCTAAGTTCTAACAATTTAAACAGCTTTCTAATCAATGAGATGTTCAACTTCCCTACATCCACCATCATCTCAAGGCATTATCACTTTATCATTTATTTTTCTCTTCTTCAGGGAGGAATAATCAATTACTTTTTAACCTTTTGAAGGATGGTTAACTGAACGCTTAAGAACACTAGAAGTTATTTCATGAACCTTCTATGATTTCTTCAACTGAATTGTATGTGATCCTCCGGCCTGAATAGAAATGTCAACTTTAAAAAGACATTCCTCCGACACACATCGACTAATTTAGCATAATTCCTGTTGAAGACTTTCTATATCAGGAAAATTTAAAATTCTAAATATATCTTCCTCTCCTACATGTAAAGAACCCGGCAGCTCTTTCAATATATCCCATTTTTCAGGAAGGTCTCACTCATTCTTCATAAGAAAGAATGAGTTAAACTAATTCTTTGAAGGATACCTCGTTATAAAATCCAACAATTTTTATTTAGCTCGGCATAAATTCGGCAATAAGAATTACTAATAAATTTACACATTTTTTATAAATATTCTACGGTTAATGTCACTCCACATTCCATGAAGAAGACTATCAAGCCCACTATAATCGTTATCGCTCTACATAAAAATTAGGATAAGGCAATGCCGCATGCTTTGAAAATGTCGAGCAACTCGGGAGCTTGAAAAAACCTCAAACCAGTACGTAACGTCATCTCATACAATGCTACAAATTCTTGTGGAGGAGCATGCAGGTCAGTCCTCTTTGGAGCAATAATCAAAACATCATTTGGTACATGAAATTTCTTGCGAATCACTGCCAAGCTATCATATGTAATGATGGACGCGACATCATCAAATCTCATCCTATCACTATCATGAGTAAGAGGAATAATTCTAGAGACATCCGTCAATTATCCACCTGAAGAAATAAAAAAAAAGATGAAAATTTTAATTTTTGATGAAATAATATATCAAAACGTTTGAAAAAAAAATCAAAATATTATTGCCAGAAGCATTCTCGGGATTTTTGAAAAAAGACCTCTTTTATGCTATATCCAAAGTTTCCGTTGATTTCTAGCCTTAGAATTATCGACCATATTTGTTTATATATCCAAATAAAGGCTGGCATAATATGGTAATATTTTGATCGCTATCGACAAACCCTCCGTGCTATCAATCTAAAGAATAACTAGTACAATAGAGCAATGCTCTGATCGACGTCAACTCCCTCCGAGCTACCAATCCAAAGAAAGACCAGTACAAATGGGCAATGTTTTGATCGTCATCAAAGCCCTCCGAGCTATCAAGACAAGCACAAGAGGGCAATGCTTTGAACGCCGTCAATACCCTTCGAGCTACCAATTCAAAGAATAACCAGCACAAGATTATAATGTTTTGATCGCCATCAAAGTCCTTCAAGCTACCAATCCAAAGAAGGACCATCACAAGACAATGCTTTGATCACAGTCAAAGCCCTTCGAGCTATAAATCCAAAGAAGGATCGGCACAAGAGGGCAATGTTGTAATCACCATCAAAGCCATCTGAGCTACCAATCCACAAGGATCGACACAAGAAAGTAAGAATTTGATCTCCACCAACAATTTTTGAGCTATTAATCCAAAGAAACAAATTTTGGACTGACACAAGAGATTGTGCTCTTCATCCTTCCCCAATGAAGTATTTATAGGAGCAAGAGGGGGGCAGCGTAAAATCATTCCAGAATTTTTTGGATTTTCATAAAATTTTTTGGGAATTTAAAAAGTCAAAAAATATAATATAATAATAATAACTTATTCAATATTAATATATATTAAATATTTTCTAACTAATAAAAGGTGGTATAGTAGCTGCCTAAATAAATTTTCATGTTATGTAATTTATAAAAATTGGTTAACGTTATGACTGATTAGAGTTATTGGTATTTCGCCTACTATATTAAACTCATTCTTATTAGTTCGCATTATGCCTTGTTGCGATTGATCGCAACTATAATTGAAAATTTAAATCAATTTTCAATTTTTGATAATTTTGTTCTGATATTAATAAGATATCGTCTTGATAATAAATTAAAAATTTAAATCAAATGATTAAATACTAAATTTTTAATTAAAACCAATTGTATTTAAGTTGATATATTTTTATGATGTAATAGTGTTTATTTAATTAATATCAATTGTATTTAAGTTGATATATTTTATGATGTAATAGTAGTATATTATTATTATTACCAAATTACTTATTGCTAATAAATTGATTATTAAATTACATCTAATTATATTAATTTAGAATTCAGTATGTTATCATATAAGTTATAATATTAAATTTACCAATAATAGCACAAAATATATATAATCTTATCATAAACTAATTTATATTTATAAATTAAGTTGATATTTATTTATGTTGGTATCACATGAATCAACAGAAACATCAGACATAATATGTAATCTTATTTGATTTAGTTTATCTATGAGATTAGATCAAATATATATAAGACAACAAATATATATAAGACAACAAATACATATCAGATAACATGTTGAATCTTATACATAATCTTATTAGCAATAGGCCATAACGTTTATATGTAATTAAAGATTACACCTACTTATTTGATCTAATTAATATACTTAATTTTATTGAGGCTGCAATGTTGATATGTGATCTTATTTGATCTAATTTAATGACATAGAATATTATCTGTAATATTTTATCACAAATATTTTTGCATATATATATATATATATATATATATATATATATATTATTTAACATAAGTATGCTAATCACCTATTTAAGTAAATATGAGACAAAAGTCCTTATTTATCCTAGGTTTTATATTCAAGAGAAAGTCAAGCCACATAATAAAAATTATCAGTCACAAGCAGCTCAGAAAGATACAAATATATATCTTCGGACTATGCAAGCTTCGACGTCCGAAAATAGGGAGGCAACTGATATGTCAAAAAAAAAAGTCTTGATCAAGCACGAATCTCAATGTAAATATAAGATTGAGGCTTCAAAAGTAAAAATATGGACAACCTAATCTCTAATATCAGCAAACTTATAGTCGAATTGAACATCTCGAAGGAACAAACCCAACGACACCAAAATCAGTCTAATGCGAGCCCAAATGAGCCTAAATCAAGGATCCAAAGCATATTTGAAGGTTTCATACATTAATTAGATAATCAAATGATCGTCGAATATGGCATGCTTATAGTCGAATCAAGAGGCTCAACAAGATGAATCCAATGAGCCCAATATCACCTAATTTTAACATCATTCATGCACTCAAACGATTGATAAACACTCCACAATCAAGGGGATCAACATGAGCCGTCCATTGAAACACTCCCAACATGTCCTCGATCTTCTCTATATTTACGAGGTATGTCACTTTCAAAAAGCTATAAATAGACCCCATTCTTCACATGAGGAAGAAAGGAGGAAGGATAAGAAGGAAAGATATGGTAGCTTACTTGCCATCGACTACTGTTGGAATTCTTCTGGACCACTGTCATACTTCTGTCAATTCGTTGACCACCTCCAGAGTTCTTCCCAACCACCGTCAGACTTCTTCCTATTCGTTGACCACCGCTGGAATTCTTCCAGGCCACCTCCGGACTTTCGCCCTTTCGTCGACCACCGTGATTTTTCCCGACCACCACCAGACTTCCATTGTTTCGTTGAAAACTGCCAGAATTCTTTCCAACCACTGTTGGACTTTCGTCTGTTCTTTGACTACCGCCAGACTTCCGCCATTTCGTCAACCACCGCTGGAGTTCTTCCCGACCACCTTTGGTTTGTCAACCACAGCCGGAGTTCTTCCAGACCACCGTCGAACTTTCACCCTTTCGTCTACCACCGCCGAAGTTCTTCCCGACCATCATCGGACTTCCACATGTTCGTCGACCACCTCCGGAGTTCTTCCCGACCATTGCCAAACTTTCATTTGTTGACCATCGTTAGACTTCTACCCGATTCTCCAATCTGTCGTAATTCCACTGTCTCCAAGTAAATTAACGAATCAAGCTTTGTAATTCATTTAAACTTAGTGAGACTTTTTCATCTATGTCAGTTCATGACTTCATGTGGTTTTTCCTTTTCAGGTTTTTCATGAAAAAATTCTAGTATTTTTCTCTCTTTCTACTATTTGTTGGTGTGTCTGATATACCTACATTGGTTAAACGCTTTATTCTCTTACTCTAATGTCGTGTATATTCTCACCCGCAACAAGTTTGTAGAACAGTCTTGTTGTTTAAGATAAATATCTTGGAGACGGGACCAATTCTGTATCAAGATCTCCCGATCTAATCTTTTTCCCCGTCCACAGCTTCAAACCCATCAGTTAACATCTCGAGGAGACAAAAGCGCAGATTAACCACAATCACCCATCTTTTTGGGGAACTCGTCCATCCAAATTCGGAGAAAAACAGACTCGGTATCAAAATCACTACTTTGTCCAACTTTCTTCAAAGCAGACAAACCCAACCCAAATCCGAGAAACAGAGCTTACACCCAAATTATAAGATTAAAAAAAAAAAAAAAACAATATCAACATTTTCTTGATTCTAGGGTGGAAAACCTATCTTACAACTCTCATGGATAGATTCAGCTCAACAAGAAATCAACTCTTCATGAACAAAAAACTTTTTCGAAATCCAGTACAGAATTAACGGAACTAAGCCCCAATATATCAATAAAAAACATACAGAAATGTTAGATGAAATATGGAATTGGATCTCAAACCTCCGATTCATCTATGAGGAGAAGTCTCGAGACGGCGGCGTCGGCTGATTTGGTTCATGAGCTTTGATCTGTCACGAAGAGCTCCTCCGTTTCTCGTAAATCGAGGGATTGAACAAACGATACAATACACCACCAGAGAAACGAAATGCAGCTCTGCTGCTGAGAAATTGACGGCCGCTGATTCATTCATTGCTCTTTTTATTGGCTTCAGAACTCAAGTAGTAGGGCTGTATAACCTAACTAAGCCTTTACAAGCAACTCCTGATAAAATTTGTTGGTAGTCATTTAATTAAGTAATTAAATAAACTTAAATATTTTTTAAAAATTCTATCATTTAATAAATAAGTTTGAACAATTATATATTTTGATCATTTATATTTATGAACAATATCGTCCCAACCTCCTGAACATATTTTATATATTAAGCTCCATAAAAAGCTAGTTAGGAATACGATAAAAAGCTCTTTAAAGAAAAACTCGATTCTTATTTGATTTGAAAATTTAATAAATCTAATATAAATATTTTATGTTTACTATAATTTAAAAATATAATAATTATTGTTTAATAAATCATAAAACTAACTAAAGATTATGATATATATTAATAAAAATACATCATAAATATCTATTATTTGATATGATATGATTATGTATAATTTAATTAAAATTATTTTTATTCTATGATATCTCTAATTATATATTTATACTTTATATCTATAACTTTAATTCCTTTCTTTTTTAGGTTGGAGAATATAGGGGCTCATAGGGAGTTATAGTTCTTTTCCTTAATTATCTTCTTTAAAGTCTATTGGCATTTTTATTCTTTTAATTTAATAAGTGGATGAAAAGTAATTTTATATTGATAAAAAATGCAACATTTTTGTTGGTTACAAAGTAGGATTTAGTAAATTTTATAAATCTTGATTTAGTGAATCTCTAAGAGGATTAAATCTTGTAAACTATTGGGCCAGACAACTCTAAAATCTTGCTAAGTTTTCATTAATCATTTGTCTATTTGTTTTTTGCTTTAATTTTTTTCAAAACAAAAACATTTATGTTTAGTTGGACTTATTTAAAAATTCAAGTGGTGAACTTATTTCAACTATGTATGTGGGGGATATCTATGTAATGCTAAAACATTGATTTTTTTATCTCTCACTATGAATATTCCAACACGTAATAGTTTGGCACCATCTATGAGAAATATTCTTAGCATACTACAAACATTTCATCATGCAGACATAATAAGCATTTAAGAGACCAAATGTGTTCTTCCCACCAATTTCAGTACGAGTCGTCAAATTATACCTCATTATAGACATCTAAAGCTAAATATCCTAATAAACATATAGAAATTTGAATATCAAAATATCTTTAAAACTATAATGGTGAAGGCCAATCTTAATATTAATCATTTTCACCATGTAAGAGGACAATCAACATAAAGATGTAATCATCCAAAGGAAAATATGAGATGTTTAATTTACTAAGGACACCGAAGATATTATTTATGAAAATCATCTTTAGATCATTATAACAAAGAACATCATTAAATTCAAGGCAAGAAAATCATCAGAGTTACTATTAATATTATTGGAATATTGCCATAATCTATTTAGAATATGTGTCCAAAACATTTAAATTACTCTTCAAAATTCTGATTTTGAGAAAAATATTTTTTCCACATTAAAATTCTTTAATCATCTTAATAATGATTGACATATGTACTATCAATTCTATGAAAATTTTATTTGATATAAGATAGTTTAATGGATATTTTATCCTTAACCACTTTCACAAATCTTGGATTACTTATTCTGAACGTCAACAATATTCTCATGTCATTTATAATTTTATATGACAAGTCATAAATATTTTTAGCAAAGTTACTCTTTTTATCACCATTGGTGAACTAGCTTTACAATCAACACTTTTCAAGGTAATATATATTTTTTTTTGGGTAAACCCGGGGCAAAAGCCCATGAATTAGAATAAAGAGTTCAAATTACAAAACCTGTGGGAAGAGAAAATAAATAACAGAAGTAACAAAATTTACACAAAGACAAGACAGCATATGCAAGAGAAGAAAATTAGACAAACAAGAAGACTCGGAAATAAAGGCAGCTCCAATTCAACCACAAAAGCAGTTGAAAATCATAATTCCGAGGCTGAAGCAGTGGTTGCCATAAATAACTGATATAATCCCATGCAAAAGAACCAGTAGAAGGCCGTCCGAACTCCTCCAGCAAGCATTCCTATATATATATTCAGCCAAAAAATTTAGAAAGTATGTGCCTTAGAAGATATATGATCCTTATTTATTCAAATATATCATTGATATAAGCAGATTTAGAAGCCCCAAAAGGGCCATGGTATGTTACAAAGTCTTATCAAATAAAGAATTGATGTCTCTATATTTTAACTGAGAGAATATCTTTTTGCTCAGTTCAACTATAACATACTCTGTCTAGACAGTTCAGTGTTTTTGGTAGTCTTATTAGCACCTGTGAAAGGGAATTTGATATCCCTATGCTTAATACTATTTAATATATTTTAAAATAAGATATTGAGCCTAAGAAGGGGGAGTATGTGGAGTGTGAGTTTTTCCCATAAGTCTAACCATGAAGACTAGCTCAGTACTATTTGTAGAGAGATACACTAGTGCTTGCGAGGAGAAATGTGATTCATTTTTTCATGAGAGTATTTAACATTTTTAAGATAAAGAGCTAAAGCTTATAAAGTGGGAAAATTATTACGTCCGGCGTCCGTATTCATCCGGAGGCGAATCCGGATGCACCACGTCACCCTGACCCCGGTGCATCCGGGTGAGTCCGGGTGACATGGCGCGTCTGGATTCGCCTCCGGACGGTTCGGAGGCCGGACATAATAATTCGCCTATAAAGTGAGAGTTAGGAGGTGTGAGTTTTTCTCCTCCCTTTTGATGGTATTTATACTTAAAGATATGAAGATGTGAACAGGTCCATGTCATAAGTCAATCGGTCTAATTTAATTTTTTAAAACTATGAATTTGAGTGTTATTTATGACTTCTCTATCATTCTCTAGTAATTTTATTCATAACATTAAAATTTGATATATTTATATGAATAACGCTCAAATACATAATTTTAGAAATCAAATGAAACCAATCGATATATATTTTTGAAATATATATATATATATTAATTATAAAATAAATTTTAAAAGTTTAAAATCTATCATAACTCAAATTTCGTAAGAACATAGTGACACAAAAAGTGTTCGATATGTTTTCTCTTAAATCGTCCCGTTATTTTCTCATCGGCCTTTCAACAAAAGAAAATTTGCATTTCTTTCTTCTAAATACTTGATGAGAAAATGACTTGTTCATTAAAAAAAAATTAAAAAAAAAAATCCAAAAGTCACGTGCATTTACGAATTATGCCATTAAAATTCGAGAATTTTTATAAGATAACGCTACTTTGTCAAAAGGCATTTATTTTTGTTGGATGATCTATTCCCGTTTGGAATTTTAAGTTTACCTCTAAGGGTACAAAATCTTGGTACCGCAAATTCTTGTTACGAACCTCCAAGGTACGAGCAATTATTATATTCGGTGTCCGAATGCATTCAGAGATCAAAAATCACGCGCCACGTCACCTAAACTTGATATTTTGGACTCGATATTGCTCGGTATACATTCGGACCGTTCGGTTTTTGACCAGATGTAATAATTTCTCCCAAGGTACATCCGCCATATTCTAACACGAACGAACTAATTAAGGCTTCCTTCGATTAGGAGAAATTAATTTTATTTTTATATGAAGATTCATCACGTGAATAAAAAAAATAAAAGTTAAAAATATTAAATTTTTATATGAAAATTTTAAGAACGGGAATTAGATAATTTAATCTAGTTAAAATAATTCTGCTAGTTTATATCATCAATTATAAATAATCCTCTTTCCTATGATTAAGGAAATGATTGATATTATAATATAGTATACATGAATTATGAAGTTGGATACCATTATAGAAGTTGGAAGAATATTAAAATATTAGAAATATTATTAAGAGATCGTTTGTTATTTATTTATTCATTCTTATTTGAGAATATTAGAATAGAAACACATATATATATCATCTTAGCCTTTGGTATTTCTGTAAATATGTAATTCATTGCTCTAGCTCTTTAGCTGTACCCTTAGCCTGGGCTCTGTCTTATATATATTAGACAATCTTGTATACGAAAGACATAATAATATTTTCTCTCTTCTTTACCTCTACTCTGTCCCTACGCTTTCTCTTCTACATGGTATCAGGATACAGGCGGAGATCCTCGTCATGACCGATTCCGCTATGTCCTCCCGGTCTCAGGAACACATCTCCGGTTCGTCCATCGACGACCTCACCATCTCGACGACGCTCAAGTTTGTCGTCTCAAATCTCAGAAATCTCGTTCCCACGCCGCTGGCTCTCGACAACTTTCCGATCTGGAAATCGCAGATCTTGAAAACTCTCAGAGCGAATGGGTTCGCGACATTTCTTGATCCCAACATCTCTCCTCTGGCGCAGTTCTTGACAAAATCCGATGGCTCCACATCTCAAAACCCAGCTTTCTTGCAGTGGTCGCTTACGGATCAGAATCTTTCGGCCTCCATCTGCTCAACCATTTCGTCCTCTATTCTTCCTTATGTCATCTCGCTGGACTCGACGGCAAAGATTTGGGCGGCACTTGAGACTCGTTTTCAAGCCTCCAACCGCTCGAAAGTAATGCAGATCAAGAACGCGTTACACAATGTCTCTCTCAAGAATCAGTCCATGACAGATTACCTGTCAGAGATCAAAGCGTTAGTTGATCAAATTGCTTCAGCATGATCCTCTCTTGAAGGCGAAGACGTCATACATTACATCTTGAATGGCCTCCCTCCGCAATATCAGTCATTCAAATCTGCCATCCGGACGTCGCCTTTTCCTCTCACTCTGGATCAGATTTATCCTCTCCTTATGAGTGAGGAAATCAATCTCGCATCGGATGCAGCAAAGTTCTCTGCTGCCCCCGATCCAAACACGGCTCTGTTCACAAGTCGCGGTAGAGGACGACGAACTCGTGGCAAGAACTACTACGGTGCTCCCAACATTCCCAGAACAAACTCAAATGCCGCCGTTTCGTGTCAAATTTGTTCCAAAAAGGGACATACGGCTCAAAGTTGCTGGCA